CACCCCAAACAACCCTTTAGTATGACTGGTCCACTACCCAGGCCTTGCGAAACTGAAGAAGCCCCAAAGGTTGACAAAGTTGCCAAGGTAAAGTTGTTGAGGTGGGACGACATTCAAGATAAAGTGCTAGCAAGTAGTGGACGCAAGAGAAGCAGTAAGTCATTAGGCCCTTCACCAATGATTGTCAAAGTTGGCGAGGGAGGCAAGACAGTCTATTACCTTTGACGGTCTAGGGGACCAAACTTCATACCTTAGGAGGATGGCCCCGAGGCAAGTAAGTGCAGGGAAGATTCTCTGAAAAAGAGCTGGTTAAGGCAAACAAAGTAGCTGCAGAATACATATAGGATGGACCAAAACCTCAAGAAGAGGTACAAGGCGAGGTCAACCTCAGCAACTTGCCATGGCAAAATAGGCCTATGTTCATCAGCAATACAATGGCTTCAGCTGTTAGGGAAGACTTGATAGCACTCTTGAAGCAGTATAGTGATGTCTTTGCTTGGATATACGACGAGATGTTTGGCCCTTACTTATCCCTCATCACCTCTCACCTCAACACCTTTCCTAACTCCAAGCTAGTGAAGCAACATGCTAAGAAGTATCATCCTGACCTAGAGGCTCTGAAGACATTCCTAAGCAAAGTGTCTAACCTCAAGAGGTTTATTCCAGCTCTTGCTGAAATGACCTTCTCCTTTGGGACACTGTCGAAAAGGAATCACAGGCCCTAAAGTTATTCCTAGGCAAAGTCTTACCTCAAAAAGTTCCATTCAGCCCTTGCTGAAATAACCTCCTCATTCGGTACACTACTGAAAAGGAATAACAAGTTTAGGAGACCCTAGAAAAATTCCTAGGCAAAGTGTCTTATCTCAGGAAGTTCATTTCAGCCCCTACTGAAATGACATTCTCCTTTGGCACAGTGCTAAAAGGGAATCACGAGTTTAAATGGTTGCAAGACCACCAACAGGCCTTTGATATAGTGAAGAGAGAGCACTTACCTCGCCACTTACTATGATTGTCTCGCAACCTGAGAAACTAGATGTACTTCTGCACCTTAGTCCATTGGAACCTAATTTGTCCAAGATTAGGAGGCACTATTAAGAAGTTGTGGTACTATTTTGGCACATCCAATCCAAGTTGTGATCAGGAATGATCCAATTCACAGCATAGTACTTATGACCTCGAAGACCATCAAGCATCAAGTTATTGGCGAAATTGCTTTGAAGAAATTTTGTTTTTTCTTTCCCGACACGTTGGCTACATTGGGGGCAAAAATGGATATCATTGAAGATAGTATAGCCATCGCCATTGAGAAAAGAACAATACCGGCGGCCATAACCAAGGAGTGAACGCAGTGATTAGGGGGCAACTCCCAAGTTTTCTCCCAAGTTTTCATCCAAGTGGGAAGACCCTTATGAAGTTGCCGAGGTAAGTAGCAGCGGATGTTACAATATTAGTGAGGGTTGCGGAAGAGTTTAGAACTGGCCCTATAAGGAGTGGATGTAGTGATGAGGTGGCAACCAACTCCCAAGTTTGCCCTTATAAAGTTGCCAAGGCAAGTAGCAGCGGGTGTTACAAGTTAGCGAGAGTTGCATATGAATTTAGAGTTGGTCCAATAAATGCTAAAGTTGTCCATCTTTTCTTAAATTATGTAAAGCATTGTAAAGAAGACAGCGAAATGAGACTCAAAAGTAATACCAAAGCATTCATAGTTTTCATATAACTTGAACTTCCAGAACATGATTGCAGTGTTTGAAAAGAAGTTACAAAGAAGAAAAGAATAGCAATAACTATATCATATCAAACCCTTCAACAAAGAGTCTATCAGACCAACATCTTGAGGTAGTCGAGCAGCGAGGGTAGAGTCCTTCTCCTTGAACTGAACCAAGTTCATGCGGTGCTGCTCAAGTGTGCACTTGTAGTCCTTAATGAACTCTTCCAAAGAGGCAATGATAGCAATGTTATCAGCATGATCAAGCAACCCGTCAAGCTTCTCAAGCCTAGTCTTCATCCACGCCAAGTTCAAGTCGTTCGCCTCGAACCTGCTGAGGTTCAGCTCAGAAGTATCCACAAACTTCCCTGAAGTTGTCAATATTCTCTTAGCAGCGAGGTCACAAATGCGGCCAGCAAGAGACTCCAACAACGCTATTTGCACCATTGGATTTGGGACATTGAAGGCACTAAATGCTTTAGGATGCAAAGCCTAAACGCAAATGAGTATGGAGCTAGCCTCAACAAATACCCAATAGCTCAAGAAAGAGACCCTCCCACAAGGCACAAAAGACTTTGCCACGGTACCACCAAGTCACAGGAGGCAGACTTGCAAAATGCCCAACTATCTAAGGCCAACTGCTATGTCTTCAATCCCCTCAACAACTCATGTCTTAGCAACTTCAGTCTATGGGACCAACAGAGATTTAGCAGAATGAGATGAACCCCCAGAGACAACCTCCATTTTGATACCTATACCCCACAGTCATCTTTAAGGGTCTCAGGAACAAAGTCATCACCACCAACAAAGGAGCTGTCAGAGTGTACAATGGATCTGGAATAAGGGCAAGGCCAATAGGGTCTGGAACCTCTGGGTTTGGAACATCCTCAGCAGCTATCTCATCACCCACAACTTATAACTTGGCGCTGCTCATCACCATCACCATCACCCTCAACGGGGAAATTGCCACGGTCTCCCTCCATGACTTGGCCCTGGCCAACTAGTTCGTCCTCAGTGTCTAAAAGCACCAACCTGCGAGTCTTCAGCAAAGGGGTCAATGAGGCCTCACAATACTAGATGGGCCACCTGAACCTGATGGAGGAATAGCACAACCATTGTCCCTCTCTGAGATGAACAGACCTTAGACAAAGAAAGACACACTTATACAACTAAAATCAAAGGAGTACTAAGTAAAGAAAAATTACTAAGTGTTACAGTACCTTGCGAAGTCTCTTCCTAAACGGTGAGGCGTGAACCTTAGAAGGTGCAGCAGCCACCGCTACTTGAACCACTCTCATACAGAAACTAGTTATATGGGAAAATTAAACTTGCACTGATTAAACTGCCAAGGCTCTTTACTGATGAGGTTCACTTGAAGCCTGACATTATGCAAGCGCGGAAAACACATTGTAGGACCTCAACACTTACCATCTCACCAAAACCAATAAGTAGCGGTGAAGACGCAATTTTATTCCCTTAAAGGGTACAACGCCAAGCGCCACAAGTCGACTATAACTCGACCTTACCTTGGGCCTCTGCCACAGCAGGATGCTGGCCCAAACCCAAGCCAACAATCCCTCCTCCCCCCTTTCCCAACACATGCCCGCAAGCAGCATGGCATCGAGGGGAATCGAACTTGAGACCTTGCTCTGATACCCAATTATAGGACCTCAACACTTACCATCTCACCAAAACTCATAGGTAGTGGTGAAGGCACAAGTTTATTCCCTTAAAGGATATAGCTCCAAGCGCCACAAGTCGATTGTGACTTGGCCTTACCCCGGGCCGCCGCCACGGCAAGATGCTAGCCTAAACCCAAGCCAACACACATGTTCTCCACACGCACAGCGGGCAAATGTAGAGGGGCAGAAATTAAGTATGAACTTAAGTGCTAAGGTCACCTCTATTAGATGAGCAAGTATGATTAAAGGAGCAGGGGCTAAAACCCAAGGGAAGCGGGTTAACTAGAGGGCCGAACTAGGTCCAACCGGCCAAGGTTCCGACTAGGCTTCATGTAGCAAAATGGCTAAGGAAAGTTGCAGAGGCAACATTTGCAGCAGTCAAGTTGTTGAGGCACTTTACCTCAACGCCGCCATCTCAAGTATTGTCGACGCCGCCATTTGAATTTACTGAAGGAAAGAGCAGCCGCAGCAACTACAAACCCTCCGCAAACTACTTGTTGAGGCAACACTTGCAACAGTCAAGCTGTTAAGGCACTTTACCTCAACGCCGCCATTTCCAGTATTGTCAGCGCCACCATTTGCACTTGCCGAGGGAAGCAACTACAACCGCCGCAACTACCTACCAAGGGAGACTCCACAAGCGTGATAGCAACCTTTGAGGCAGGCCTCCCCTTAGCAAATTGAAACTAATGCTTGGTGTTGATAGCAGGCCTCAAAGCATTACTAGCTCGGCGCTAATAGCAGGCCGAGATACCAATATACAACGGCGACCCCGCAAAGATGGGAGTAGGGCAACCTCAAAGAAAGGGACTCCCTTTCCATTACCTAGGTCATGGACTTGCCTTAGTGGCATTAGCAAGACCAAGGAAGTCTCCTTGGGCTTGGTACTAAGGCATAACATGATTGATAGCAGACTTAGCTGTGGCCTTCGCCCTGGGAAGCTGGGGAGTTTGTGATTAGGTGGCTAAGGGTAAAGGAGTTGCTAAGGTAGACACAAGTGTGGCTAATAACAAGTCATGAATACTAAGAATGCATGCTTTGGAAAACAGAACTGAGAAGGCGGGTGCCGTAGCAAGTACCATCGCAGAGAGTGCCACCGAAGTAGGTGCACCTCCTGCAGTCCGTACCAAAACAGCACTTGCTGAGGTTCGCACCAAAAAGGTACTTGATGTGGTTTTGTGCCAAACAGATAGTACAGTGGCAGTTGCTGAGGTTCGTACCAAAAAGGCACATGTAGAGGGACGTGTATACCAAAGCTTGGTAGTTCAACGAATGGAATATTCCATATGTCCTCTTGAACACGTCATCACCCTATTTGGCCACTTGGTAACCAAGGAAAATCCTATAAATAGATCCAATTTCGTAAGATTTGAGAACTCCAGAAGAGGATCAAGAGGACAACATTCTTAGGAGAACTTTGAGGGATTTGGGGAGGTGCTGCCCATTTCTCCACTGCCACATTCTTCTCTTGAACCACTTGTTCTACTCTAACCCGGCTACTCTTTCTCCAACCTTCCCAGATTATTGATCCATTAACATAGTTTTGCCTCTTTAAGTAATATTATTACTGTTCATTTTAGACCCCCTACAATAATATGGATATTGGTTCTTACTGTTCTCTCCATGTCTATGCACTCCGCCAATACCCCCAGTGACAAATACAGGGATGCCAACCTGCAGAAATTTTGTAAAGATAAACAACCTATCTGAAGGATAAAATTATGCCCATGGTATATTTGTACAAGAAAACTGAAGAACGCAAAAGATTAGAGTATCACCATAGAAGCAAAAATCATAGTGGCAGAAACAGTGGTTGCACCATCCCCTTTGGTAGCCACCTGAAAAGAAAGTAAACCCACACATCAAGCTATCAAGGACTGACAACCACAAAAGCTAATACAGTTAGGGCATGTTTGATTAGTAGGATTATAGCATAGGATCGGGATTGTTTGTCCATAAACTCACAATCCTATGTTTTATTGCAAATTTTATTAACCGGATTACATGTACAGTGACATTCAATATGACAAAATTGGCGAATTTTTAATATTGAGAGGGGCTGGGATCATAATTTCAAGTATGAAAGAAAAAAAAATAATAATAAAATGAATACAAAATAAATAGTTATCTCACTAATTTAATTGGATAACTAATCCTACACTAATTAATGGGATTATTAATCCTTTCACTATTAATCCTATTAATCAAACAAGGCATTGTAGTTTTGTACAGCAGAAGTTTAATGGCAATATGTTGACCAATTTAGTTATTCATATATGCACACACATATTATGTACTTCAACAAGACCTGTCTGATGCTACACATAACAGATTAACTTCAAAAGGCTCATCAAAGCTAAAGAGTGGCAGGACAGTACACACATGAGAACAATAAGTGCATGCATACTATTGAGAACCACCCAACCAATCAGCACTCAACTCATGCACAATATATCTGGATATAAGAAGTTCGTCAAGTTCAGAGAAAATTTCACTTTTTACAAGTTCAATAGAGAGGTTTAGTGTTCTCAGTTCATGTAAACCTTATAGGTAGCAACTAGCAAGCTTTAAAACCTAGTTCTATAAGTCCTCATTTTGTCAATCTGCAACTGAATAGTGGAAATACCTTCAAAAACTAACATGAGAGCATTTCAATATGCAATCACCAACATAACACAGGTTAAAAAGCCAAGGTAGAAATTCTTTGAACGGTGTTTGTGACTAAGGTCAATAATGCAGCAACAGAGGAGTTATTCAGCACTAATTGCTCTGAAACTAAGAAACACAGATATGAACACGTGACACGACACGGACACATGGATGCACAAATTTTCAAAAAATACAGAACATGACACGTTGGGGACACATGCAAAACATATAATTTTACATATTTATTATATGTCATATTTTTAAATATTTAATATGCATTTTATGTCAAATATTTAATTTTATCAACTTTAGGTACGCTATTTTAGTAAAAACATTAAATTTTTTTTTTGAAAAAAATAGTCCTCAATATGTCCCAACGTATCCGCAGCATGTCCGACACGTGTCCATGTCCGATACGTGTTGGACAACTGCACGTGACCTTTGGAGAGGTGTCCATACTTCATAGCTCTGAACCTTTATTGCAGTTGATCAACATCAGAAAGAAGATGCAGTTTTAGGTTGTTGCATGGGACAGTTACAGGAATTACATTTTAAGCTTTATGTATCAACCATAGTAACTTTTTTCTTCATTAGTTGCCCCTGTTATTTTCATAATCATCAGTTCAACATTAATAACAGTCTGCACTCATGTAACCTGAAAATGATTTTCTCCTACATGGGCCCTTTAGACCATTTCGTTTTTTCAAATATTTAAGCTTAATAGTAGAAGCTAGAAAATTAACCAAAGACATCCACCACAAAATTCATTGAAGATACAAGAATGTGTTTCAATGTCCCACAGAGTTCATTCCGTAGAATTTGAATGCAAAGAGGTCACCCTTTAGAATGTAGGCAAATGGCGGCAACAAACCTAAGAAGCTTGAGACAAGTATTTCATGAGTTCAAGACACCCGAGAGGAAATTTTCAATGTATTGCAACAGCAAACAGTATATACTAGATGCTATTGTATATGCAACGTATCACCAAAAAAAAAAAATACAAAATGAAGTGAAATACACCAAAAAAAAATTCCATGTGCTATCTAAGGCTTAATGGACTGATTCAATGCCAAGGGACAATCAAGACATTCATTAACAGCATTGTTTTATGAAATCATGAATAATGTTGATGGAGCATACAACCTTACACTAGACAGGTTTCGGAAATCATGAAGTAACAAATCTTCAAGAATATGCTGGATTAGTTCAGAGGATTCTGACCTAATGCAGCATATTCTTGAATATTTATTACTATAGGATCCAGAAATCTTCCTGGTCCAGCTATGTTATACATTTATGAACATTTTTCCTTACTGAAAGTTTATTCAGGAAAAATATATACTAGTATCTATACTATCTATACTATTATCTATACTATTATATAAAGCAAACACCAGACTTTGTGTAGATGCCACATATTTTCGCTTTCTAAAAATGCCCACAAGAGTTACAAGACCAATTAGGCCATTGTTCAGTTTTTTTTTTTTTGGCCATTTGATCTACTTGATCCAGCTATTGCTAATAAACTTGATGATTCTTCTGCAACACCTGCACTCATTGGCATGTTCAAACTTAAAATTCTTTTGATGTCAAAACATCAAAACTAACAGTCGGGTTGAGACTGTCTGCAAAAATGAAGTAGCCTTGATGTTGCAATGTTTCCTCCAGCTACATAGTCCTGCTTTACAGATTGCTTTTAAAAAGCTAGATGCATGGCAAGAGGAGGTTCTCTAGTAAGGACCATTATGTTCTCTTATCAGAAACCGTAGAGAAGTAAACTAACTTCTATAATCTATCAGTGTGTGTTGTATTGTAAAAAGGCCTCAAAATACAAAAGGCTTGGTGGTCAGAAGAACCTCTCAAAAAAAAAAAGAGAAGAGTTTCAGACATAAATGCCTTCATCTCATACATTTGTTGTTATCAAAGCAGTGGATCCATTGGTTGTGGCTGATTAATCCTTGGAGAAACATGATGCAACATGAAAGGTCCGTTACATGGACATAACCACAAAACTATATGCTACATCAACATCGGAATAATTAAAAATCAGGACTCCAATATTGTAGAGGCAAGACAATGTGTAAAACTCTATGACTGCATGCATCCACATGAGTTGTTAAAATTGATGTATTATTGATGGTTGATATTAATTATGTTTACAATGAGTCCTATATATAGAAGATTAGAGGAGGTAGGTATGTAGTAGGTGGAGTAGTAGGTGGAATAGGTGAAGTGGGTGGAGTAGGTGTAGTGGTAGGTGTAGTGGTAGGTTTTGGTAGGTTTTAACATGAGTGTATATCACAATTATGATGGCCCCTCTCCTCCTACAATACTTTTTCTCATTTTAGGTGAAACCTTTTTTCAACCGATTTAAATATGGTCAAATCTGTGTCACATGATGAGATTAAGGTGTTAACAAGTGAGTGCTTTGCAAAAATGTAGTAAATACATAATGTCTGTATCTATGTATGAACAGAAAAATGTATGTACTATATGTTTGAATTTGTATTTATGTGCACAGTTACACATTATCATGATGACTCTCCTCACAATCCGAAGTCCAAAGCAATAATATGATAAAAAAAATTAATTAAAAAACTATTTAAGCCATTAAATTTTTTTTTTTTAGGGTTGCATTTTTCTCTTTTAAAAGAGAACTGTATCCTGACACCCTAAATTTATCAGTGACATGATGGAAAGTGGGCATAAAGAGTCTACAAAGATCTTTGAAATAAAATCCATAGCCATCATATAGACAAGTACAAAGTGTCCAAGAAATAGCTGGTATGGCACTTGTTTGCACAAACAGAAGTCCTTTTAGGAAATTCCTCTTAACCTAAAGTATTGAATACATATTCAACTTAATCTTATTTGAGGAATTATACATTATTTTCTATACCTTAAGAATGCTGCATTATCATGTATCTGGGGTGACCAATAAGCTTTAACCAAGTATATGATATATGAGCCTCTTAAATCTATCCAAATCAAAATGCAGAGATACAAAAATAGTGAAAGATACATTGGTACATTCCACATGAGCATTGGTTGATAATTTCAGAGTGCTACTCACAACATGTGCAATGTCCCTGCGAGCCGTCTTTCGAGCTTTGGTTCCCAAATTAGCCAGCCTCTCAAGTTCTTCTGCACTCAAACCTACAATTAGTTTTGCAATGTTAGAGATTTGAATAATACTCACAACAGAACTGAGAATAGTATAACCCAATCAATTAGATAATCAATGGCTTCATATCTATATTGGAGCTTCAGGGCTAAGGTGAATGGGGATAAGCCCACCTGCCGGTTATGCTACGAGTCATTCGATACACAACCTCAGCCAGGATCTTGTGAGGTATTGCAAGTGGCCAAAAAAAGTTTCATCACATCAGGAACAAAAGGGGAAAGAAAACCACTGCCCAACATCTAACAGGTCCAAGTAAGCATACCCTAGATAATCACTTTTGGTGTTGGCATGTAATACTTCATTACTTATATAACCATACATTAGTTGCTCCAAATAATTTTCCCATGAGTTATGTGAAGTATAGATTCTAAACATAATTTTTCTGCTTGTAAAATGGTATAGTGTGAACTATAAGAAATTTGTTTACTAAAAATAGAGCCTATTGTCTTACTGTAAAACCATCTGAATTGAGCAACTTACATACAAGTATTGTTTAAACAAGTCAAATATATAAGAGACCATAGTCAAGAGAGAATGAAAAACAAGTCATTTTATTTCAACTGTTTATTCTGTATCTTAAATGTCCCAGTGATCAAGAAAGTTGAAATAAAAATTGCTATGCTGAGATAATCAAGCTAATAACTCTTGAATTAGTAAGATGCCTTCAACGGTTGATACTAATCCTTCTCAGGCACACATCATATGTACTTCTTGGTCAAGCACTCCCAACCAAGAAAGAATTACTCTCAAATCAACATTATTCTCTTCTCACAATATATTTCAATAAAAATGGTAAAAAGAGGGGCCAAACGTCGCATACACAAGTGCATGCACACACAAATGCACACACACGCGTACATATAAATGTGGATATAAGGTTTGGTTTCAGCAGTAAACTTTTTTCTGTTGCTTCCAGCCTTATTTCTTTATGCCTCGGTTTATTGGTTTATCTAGAACAGAAGAAATGACAAAATTTGCAGGTCTATCATCATTGAGGAAGACTGGGAAAAAGAGATTCCACCGTCTTCCTGTTGTGGCTTGATTGTTGATGCATATGACCAACACCATAAGAAAGGTTGTCTTTGTAAAGTCCAAAATTATCATGAGAAACCTGATGTAAACACCCTGAAAATCTACCAGAAGTGAAGAGATCCAAAGCCTGCATTTTCATGTCCATTGAGCTTGAAATCGCCGAAGACGGTTGATTCAAGTTGGAAAACCGTCCATATTTTGTGGGGGAATTAATGATCTCAGTGTCGCATTGCCTTTACAGGAGGAATCTGTCTCTGGGTCTTGCAAATGGAAACTGTAGACAAGTCCCATGTTGATTTGGAAGACGCCGGTGGTGCTGGTGGCGCACCTGTTGTTGCTGAGATCGAGCTTGAAGAGAAGCTTCAAGTTCTTGATCGTGTGAGGGCCTGTGCCGCAGAATCGATTCGAGTTGATGTGAAACAATGCGAGATCTGTGAGGAGTCCGAGCTCCTCCGGGAGGTACCCGGCGATGTCGCCTTGGTTGGGATCGATACCGGCAACGGTGTTGATCGAGGAGTTGTCCGGTGTCGTGGAAGAGGGTCTGGCGGAGAGAGAGCTTCCTGAGGTTGGAAAGGTGGGCAATCCGGAGGTCCAAGGTGGAGAGTCGATTGGCGGTGAGGTCCAACTCAGTCAAACTCGGTGGAAGCTCGACTGAGTCGAGATCGTGTAGCTGGAAGCTTGTGAGATCGAGGACTATAGCCAATGATGATTCATTGTCCTCGTCCACCATTGTTGCAAAAGGTGTCTTCCAAGGTTTTTTAGCTATGAAGATTCGGAGGGTTGCATCAATCCATTCTCTTTGACAGAGGATAGGAACTTGTGTAAATTGAACTGACCGAGCAAAGTTGCAAACCAATATTCAGCAGCAGGAGGAGGAAGGACATGCAGAGTGATCAAGGTATGTGTAGAAAATTCAAGCGGAATAGGTTGAGGTCCGGCGGGCGGCTAAGATGATGTTGCCGCCCGCCGGGGAAGCGAAAATAGTAGGTTCTAAACCTGCTCTGATACCATGTAGAAATTTAATGTATAAAGAGAAATGATTGTATTATTGATTTATATGTTGATTTTATTACAATGATTCATGATTCCTATATATAGAAGAGGGTGAGTGTGTAGTAGGTAAGGAGTAGGTGAAGTGGAGGTGGTAGTGGTGTAGTGGGTTAGGTTTAGTAGAGTAGGTGAGGTGGTAGTGGTGTAGTGAGTTAGGTTTAGTGGAGTAGGTCTGCAGAGCAGGACAAATGAGGTGCAACAGTTAAACTCCCAGCTGGCTCTGCTCCAACGCATGTATAAGGATGCGCGAGCAGAGATAAGTGTGCTAAAGAC